CCTTCCCTCCTTTCTCTCTCTCTCTTTTTCTTTCTTTCTTCTTTCTTTCAAGACAGAATCTTGCTTGGTGGCCCAGGCTGGAGTGCAGGGGTACAATCTCGGCTCACTGCAACCTCTGCCTTCTGGGTTCAAGAGATTCTCTTGCCTCAGCCTCCCAAGTAGCTGGGATTACAGGCATGTGCCATCACGCCCAACTAATTTTTGTATTTAGTACAGACAGGGGTTTCATCATGTTGGCCAGGCTGGTCTTGAACTCCTGACCTCAAGCAATCCACCTGCCTTGGCCTCTCAAAGTGCTAGGATTATAGACGTGAGCCACTGTGCCTGGCCTCTGGTTGCTTTTGAAGTGTTTTCTTTGTCTTCATTTTCAACTGCAATGTTTCAAGTTGGATTTTCTTTTATATATGTTGCTCCAGGATGTTTTCTTCAATTTAAGAATTCATATCTTTTATCAACTTAGAAAAATTCTCAGTCATTCCTAAAAATACTCAGTCATTACTAAACACTTCTCTTTAATAGTTTAAAACATTTTTTACAGTCTTTTAAAGATCAATCTGCTATATCAAATTATTATGATACTCCTCTTGTTTACTTACTGACTTTTTTTGAGAGTAGATTATTTCCTTGTATGGCTTGTAGTTTTTGTGAACCTCTTTAAAATAGATTTGAAAATATTTTTTATATAAGCTGTGCAAACCTAGGATATGGATGTGTTTATGTTTGTGTCTGGCAGACCTCCCAAGGTAATACCAATCTAAAACCAGTTTTAAGGGTAATTTTACTGTTTGGCGATTTCATCCAATGTGGAAACTATAAATTCAGATTCTGAATCCATGCATCCTACAATCTTAAGTTTTAAATTCTTCACAGAATACTTTCTTCTCTATTCAGAGCTTTGAGCAGGCCAAGCTTCGCTATGGACTGAGTTTCTTACCCCTTCTTTTACTGAGAGGGCAATCCTTCCAGATTCTGGTTTCAATTCCAGTTGCTTACTTCCAGGGATCCACATCTCCTGACCCTGAATGGGCATTGAAACCCCAATCCCAACCCATCAGGGCCTAGATGTATAGGATCTACCTACCACCCTTCCGCCAAGTTCATTTTATGAACTTGTTATTCTGGCTTTAGGCACTCTCTCTCTCGCTTTCTGAAACATGGGTTTTCCTTTCTTTTGAATACATTTTTCAGTGTTTGTCATTTTATTTCATCCAGTATTCATATATATATATATATTTATATTTTGTAGAAACAGAATTTTACCATGTTGCCCAGGCTGGTCTCGAACTCCTCGGCTCAAGCAATCCACCTTCCTTGGCCTCCTAAAGTGTTGGGATTACAGGCATGAGCTACCATACCCAGCCCTATCCAATATTTTAATGTGGCCATAGGGAGTCTGTGTGTGGGGTCAGGTAGTGTTCATGTAACTCAGTTACTTTCCGAAACTTGAAAGTATCATTTCTTTCTTTCTTTTCTTTTTTGTAGAGACGGGGTTTCACCATGTTGCTCAGGTTGGTCTCAAACTCCTGAGCTCAAGTGATCCAGCCGCCTCAGCCTCCCAAAGTGCTGGGATTACAGGCATGAGGAACCTGTGCCTAGCCTATTTCTTGGTTCTAATGAACATTTATTTTATTTTATTTTGAGATGGAGTTTTGCTCTTATTGCCCAGGCTGGAGTGCAATGGTGCGATCTTGGCTCACCACAAGCTCCGCCTCCCGGGTTCAAGTGATTCTCCTGCTTCAGCCTCCTGAGTAGCTGGGATTACAGGCATGCGCCACCACACCTGGCTAATTTTGTATTTTTAGTAGAGATGGAGTTTCTCCATGTTGGTCAGGCTGGTCTCGAACTCTCGACCTCAGGTGATCCACCCGCTTCGGCCTCCCAAAGTGCTGGGATTACAGGCGTGAGCCACTGCGCCCGGCCTCTAATGAACATTTATAAATACATAATTATATTAGATTAGATGTAATATACTACATAGTATATTAGATATACTATATATGTATATAATTATAAACATATAGTTTAATAGAAATAGCATTAAATGTAATATAAGTTGTAAATATAGTACATATACAGTAGATATAGATGTAAATATACATATGTATGCATGTAATATAATAAATATAAATATGTAGTGTATTAGATATAATATACTAGTAAATATGTAATACATTAGATGGTAACAAGTGTTATGAAAAAAATCAGGAAAGGGGATAAGGTATTGGGGATTGTGATTTTATTTGAATACATATATATTTATTGTTCAAACATTTTTATTTTAAATTTATTTTTAATTAAAAAAATTTATTTTTAGAGATGGAGCCTCACTATGTTGCCCAGGCTAGAGTGCAGTGCATTCACAGGCGTGATCATCGCACATTACAGTCTTGAACTCCTGGGCTCAAGTGATCCTCCTGCCTCAGTCTTCTGATCAGCTGGGATTAGACGTATGTACCATTGCACCCAGCTATTTAAATACTTATTTAAAAAATAATTTATTGGTCAGGCATGGTGGCTGACGCCTGTAATCCCAGCACTTTGGGAGGCTGATCACCTAAGGTCAGGAGTTTGAGACCAGCCTGACCAACATGGTGATACCCTGTCTCTACTAAGAATACAAAAATTAGCCGGGTGTGGTGGTGCATGCCTATGGTCCCAGCTATTCTGGAGGCTGAGGCAGAAGAATTGCTTGAACCTGGGAGGCAGAGGTTGTAGTGAGCCAAGATCACGCCACTGTATTCCAGCCTGGGCAACAGAGCAAGACTCTGATTCAAAAAAAAAAATTTTTAAGTGAAAATTCATGTAACATAAAATGAACCAAGTGAAGTGAACAATTCAGTGGCATTTAGTACAATGACAATGTGGGGATTGTGATTTTAATGGGGTTGTTAGGCCTCCTGAAGTGATATTTGAGACAATACCTGAAAGAGGTGATGGGAGAGCTATGATGCAGCTCTCTGAGGAACAACATTAGAGCAGAGGAAATAGCAAAGCCATAGACCATGAGGTGAGAGCATGTCTGGTCTGCAGGAGGAAGAGTAAAGAGGCCTTGAGGATGGAGTGGAATGCACTGGACGGTGAGCAGTGGAAGATGAGATTGTTGGATAGGCAATGAGAGCCTAGATCAGTGATGGCCAATAACATTTTCCTCAATAATGGAAATTTTCTATATTTCTGTGTCATCCAGTATAGTAGCCATTAGCCACATGTGGCTATTGAGCATTTGCAATGTGACTGGTGTGACTGAGGAACTGAATTTGTAATTTTATTTAATTTTAATTAATTGAAATTTAAACAGTTACTAGTGCTACAATTATTGGAAGGCTCAAGTTTTGATTGTGTGGGACATTGTAAGTTATAAAAATTTTGGTTTTCATTCTGTGTGATATGAAAAGCCATTGGAGGGTTTCAATCTGATTTTAACAGAACCACTTTGGCTGCTGGGTTGACAACTGATTGAAGGGGACAATAGTAGAAGCAAGGGGACCATTTAGGAAGCTATTGACATTATTTCTGCTGAGATTATATTAGAGACAATCTAGCATATAGTATGCTCTCAGGAAATAAAGTATTTGTATTACAGTATTCTTCCTTCTAAAAAATATTGAGTTACCTATGGGCCAAATTCTATTTTAGATGATAGGGATACCTCAGTGAAAGAAATACAACCCTTGTGTACATGAATGTTATATTCTAGTTGGAGAGATTGACAATAAACAGACAAGCACCTGGGGTGGAGGAGTAGTTGAATGTTGGGACATAAGTTTAAAGGAGGATGAATGTCCTCTTATTTCCATCTTCTCAGTGATATTTTCCTGTGGGTGTTACTTCATTTGGAGAAAGACAAAGTCTGAACTTGAGGTCATTTGTGACAGTGATAGCCCGCTGGGCCTCTTAAACTCTATGTGTGGAGGGGCCTTCTAGGAATTGTATAGTGATGTGAACAACACATGGGCCTCTGGAACCCAGAGCTCCACAGGGTAGGCTGGCCTCCAGTTAAATTTCCATTCTGTTTCTCAGGCCTAGAGGCCTTATCTGGGGTAAGGCCAGAGTCTCCTGAGAGATTATCCAGAAACTTGGGCATAGTTGCTAGAGACCTTAAAACTTATGATGACAAAAGCATATCTTGGGAGGGGGTGCAAAAAGACTAGAGTCAACAGAACTTGAAGCAAGGCCAGAAGGTGCAGCTGGGACCATAAATGGGGATCTAGTTGAGGGCAGGATGGCCCCTCCATCACAGCACTGCTCTTTTGGGTTGTGGGCCTGGTCTTCTCATCTCATGGTGTTTGCCCAACCACAATCTAGAGTGGATGGAGGGTGTCCAGAGTGCAGCTGCTGGTCCCTGAGTGGTTGGGGGAGCATTCAGAGATAGGATTGGAGAAACTTTTATTGTTATTACTCCTATATTCCCCATCCCCAACCCCAAACCTGTATTTTTTAGTAAGTTTATTTGTTGAAATTAAATGAAATGTTAACACCTGGTCTTAAATTTGGGCACATGGCTATGGCATCTGGTTTGAAAATAATGACTAAAACTGTTGTAAAAAGCATGTTATTAGTTCTTTTAAGTTAGTGCTTAAAAATCCAAGTATTTAACTAATGTGACGTAATCTAAATCTCACCTGTGTTTTCCAGTCTCTTTTATGGAAAAAATAATCCTCAAAGAAATTCAAAGGCTCCTTTCTTCTTAGCATCTCTAATTTCTGCATGTCTTTGAATGGCTTTCCCATCACCACCCCATCCACATTAGGGAACAATGGAAAGATGGGTATTTTTGAATATGGGCTATCTGAATGGGAATTGCATCCTAAAAAGATAAAAACAAAAATGGTATCACAAACAATGTAAGAAATTCACATAAACGACTAGCATGTGGTGCCTGTTTTGCTTTGTCTATTCTTCTCAGTGGCCATGGCCCTCATTCTTCACTCTCCTGCTTCCACTCCCAACCCATTCACAGACTCTAGACTTCATCAGGCATCTGAGGATTCAGGTTACATCTACATTTGCTTTCAAATGACATCTATGTGACACAGAGTGGTCATTCAGAATAGGCTGTGGTTCTGTTCTTAAGGCATTTGGGCTCTAGTACTTCTTTCTGACCAGTCATATAAAAATACATCCTTTACAACAGTAGAGAGAGAACAAATGGCTCTTACTCTTGAGCTCTTCAAGAAATTTAAATAAATCCTTTTCTTTCATTATTGCAATCCGGGCAGCATTAGCAAAGGCAGCCATGCTTGAGCTTGGAGGTGTGCATATGTCTGGCTTAAGTGTCCTTTTTCCATAGCCCATAGTGTAGGGACTCCACAACATTCCTGGGCCAGTATGCTGGAATTTTCTTTGGAAATAGCTTTAAAAAAAAAGTAATTCAGAAATGGATACAAAGAGATATAGGATAAACATTTTAAAAAGTCAAGTTGCTAGTTACATATGCTGAAGAAACTTACTTTAAATCTAATTTGCATATTCATTCAATAATATTTGAGTGTCTATTTCTGTGATATTTATAGAATATCTACTGATACCTCCCACAGGCCATTTGACTATTTATATTTGTATTCCTTGGCTTTTGGTCTCCCTTTTTTACCCAAGCCTTCCCAGAGTTTTTGTTTTTGTTTTTTTCAGAGAGAGATGAGGTCTTGTTATTTTGCCAGGCTGGACTGGAACTCCTGGGCTCAAATTCTCCTCCCTCCTAAGCCTCCTGAGTAGCTGGACTATAGGTACCTGCTATCATGTCCAGCTCTGACCTCCCTGTTTTGTTTAGAAAAATACTTATGAATTATGATCCTTGACAAACCCTTAAGTGGTACCAGCTTGAATACAAACATTAATGATTATTACTTTGTGTTAGGTTTAAAAATGCAAATTTTGTTTTAAGTTAAAAGAAATTCTCATTGCAGAGAATTAGAAAACATAGAAAAGTATAAAAAAGAAAAGAAAATACTACCAGTAAGCTTATGATCTGGGGTAAATCACCATTGACTGCTTTTCTTTCTTATCTTTTTTTTTTGGAGTGTATGTGTAAGAACAGACTTAGATGTGTTACTGGGCATTTTAGGTTACACATTCTTTGAGAATTAGTACAGCTGGCAGGCTGTATATGATAAAGGACTCTGATCCATGGTATAAACATCTGACTTACAAACATGCATACCTCAAATATCAGTGACTGTGGTGATAAGTGATCAGCTTCCTCCTTGCTGCCAGAACAGTGAACTTCTCTCTGCAGCTATGGCAGGGATCTGATCTGCTTACTGCTGCTGAGGTGGAAGGACTTGCTTCTCACTGCTTTGATAGTGGAACCTCTCACATCTCAGTGTTCTGAGTAGAAGAGCATCACTTTATGCTGTCTCAGAGGAAAAGGTGTAGGACTTTGCTTCTCATAAATACGTAGGTAGATTTCTTCCTGTTACAGCAATGGGAGGCTTCACTACTCTCTGGGATGGTGACAGGCAACCTTTCCTTTCCTCTCAGGAAGAGGGAAAGGACTCATTCTAAATGTTGGGGCTGAAGCAGTGGTTGGTAGGAAATGTGCCTATGGTGTTCTGATTAGAGTCTGACTTATGATCAGATACTTTCTTCCCTAGCCTTGAACTCAACCATCCACAATGTCATCACTTGCCTCTGAAAATAGCATAAGGCTAGTTTTTCTTAATGTAACTTAATTCCCACCCAGTCCTTCAAGGCTCAGTTTTTCTTTCCCTCAGAGTATTCTCTATATACTCTATGGCTCTGAGTGTGGTCTTCAGCACCACTGGGAAAATACAAATTGTGGGAAATACAAATTCTTGGCCCTGACTACACACCTATTAACTTAGAAATCCTGTAGCCTAGCAATGTGTTTTAACAATCACTCCAGCTGATTCTGATACAGTGCAAGTTTGAGAACTTTTGCTCTAGTCTATAGTTTCCTTTCTTCCTTGAAATTCTAATCTTTGCTTAACAATTTATGTCACATTATATTTTATAACTAATTGTTTCATGTATATTACATACAAAAACTAGTGGCTTGTGTTTGTATTTGCTGTTATTATTATTATTATTATTATTATTAGAGACAGAGTTTTGCCCTTGTTGCCTACGCTGGAGTGCAGTGGCACGATCTTGGCTCACTGCAACATCCACCTCCTGGGTTCAAGCGATTCTCCTGCCTCAGCTTCCCGAATAGCTGAGATTAAAGGCATGCACCACCATGCCTGGCTAATTTTGTATTTCTAGTAGAGACGGGGCTTCTCCATGTTGATCAGGCTGGTCTTGAACTCCCAACCTCAGGTGATCCATCCACCTCGGCCTCCCAAAGTGCTGAGATTACAGGCGTGAGCCACCGTGCCCAGCCTGCTATTTATTATTATGATTATTATTTTAGAGACAGGGTCTCACGGTCTCCCAGGCTGGAGTACAGGGGTGCAAGGCTCACTACAGCCTTGAACTCCTGGCCTCAAGCAGTCCTTCTGCCTCCGCCTCCTGAGTAGCTGGGACCACAGGTGCAAGCCACCCTGCCTGGCTAATCTTTAAATTTTTTTGTA